AAAATAATATAAAATATTAATCAATTTGACCTATAAAAAATTATATTAAAAATATTTTAAATATAATTATTTCAATAAATTTTAATTAAAAAATAATTTATTCACAGAATTTCCTATTTCAATAAACTCTATGAATTTGGCCATACCCTCGGAGAGGGAAACGCAGCAGTGGAGTATTTGGTCTCGTTGGATCACTTGGCTTATCAAGGTCTTATTGTTACCACGTCTTCGCCGACTGGTTGGATTGGAGTTGCATGCTTTTGGCTGATGCTATGAGAATTCTGTTTCCATGTTTTAATATTAATTCTCTCTTATTTAAAATAATTATTAATTTTTTATGTTAGATTTGTCTTAAATTAATTTTTTATTATTAAAATAAATAAATAATATATTATATTATTTTAATTCTATTATTATTTTTCACTTTAATTATTATCATTCCATTTCACACAAAAAGACAATTATCATTCCATTTCACAGAAAAAGATAATTATGAATTGATAATATTTATGCATTGATTTCTTTTTTACTCATTCTGTCAAAATAATAGATATTTTTAATTTTTATTTTAGGATTAAAAATTTAGAGATAATTTTTATTTTTATTTATTTCATTTTTTAACAAATAAAAATAAAGTGACTTGTTTTATGATAAGATGAATAATTAAAATAAAGAGATAATTATAAAGTTTAATTGAAAAAAATATTTGTCTATCTTAAAATACGAAAAAATAACTATTATTTTCAAACAAATTTCAAATAAAAAAATCTATTATTCTAAGACAGGAGAGTATCATTTTATATACATTTATAGTATGTTTAGATTGAAAAGTTTTTTAACTAATCAAATTATAATTTTTTAAATATTAGAATTTGATTGGTCAAAAGATCATTCCTCCCTTCCATTCTTCTTAATTCAAACATACTATTATGCTTTAATGTTCATTCTATTAAAAATTTAAGCATTGATTTTTTATTTTTCTTTTAATCTTTGATTATATTAACAATTACATTTTTTTATGCAACAATTTTTTTTTTCCTTACAGCTGCAGATTGTAAAACAATAAAAGGGTAATGAATGATAAAGAAGGGCAAATAAGACATTTAATAAGTGATTATCTTAAACAACTAGGCTAAAATATGCATTTAACCCTTTACCTTATTAAATTTGAAGATTTTAACCCTTTACCTTATATTATAAAATTTTTGACCTTTAAAGGTTTGAAGATTTTAATTTATAAACTAATGAAATCCCTTAACTCTTTATTAAAATAAGAATAAAATATTTACAAAATCAATTCTCAAAAATTAAAAATATAATAATTTAGTTCTAACAATTTAAAAATTAAAAAAAACTAGTAAACTAAAAAGAATTAATAGATAATTTTTTCACATACACTATAATAGTATCGGATATTTATAATCAAATCAAGCAATTAGCTTAATTTGAAGAAAGAATTTTGATTGAAATTAAAGAAAATTTCTTAGTTGAGTTAAGATAAAAAATCCAAGAAACTAAAAGAATACAGTTAAAAAATTTTCTTTAATTTCTATTAGATTTCTTTTATTAAATTGAGGTAATCATTCGATTAGATTGTAAATATCTAATATTGTTCTTGTGTATGTGGTAAAATCATCAACTAATTATTTTTAATTTACTATTTTTTTTTAATTTTTAAACTTTTAGAACTACATTGTTATATTTTTAATCTTTGATAACTAAATTTTTAAATATTTTATTCTTATTTTAATGGAGAGTTAACATATTATTTTAGTTTATGGGTTAAAAGCTTCATAATATAAGGTGAGGGTCTAAAAACTTCAAATTTATAAAGATGAAGGGCTAAATGCATATTTTAGCCCAATGAACTCTATAAAATGCATATCAATTTTGATTAAAAAAATTTAAATTCTAACTTTAAACTATCATTTTATTTAATTAAAATCTAATTTAAAATTTATATATCCATATTATTAAATAATGATATCTAAATTTGAAAACTAATTATATTAAAATATATAATTAGTTTTCAAATTCAGATATCAACATCTAATGAGATAAATTTTTAAATTATGAATTGAATTTTAATTAAATTAAATGATGTTATTTAAGATTAGAATTTTTATTTTTTTAGAGTTGAGATTGATATATATTATTCTTTACATATATATTAGTATGGCTCAAATATATAGGTTAAATATGTAGGTATAAACCTTCATACTCAATATTTAATTTGATACTTGAGGTATATATTTTTTAATATCTAATAGTTAACCATCTATTATAGGAAACCAAAATTTAATTTATTTTAATTTTACGAATATAAAACTAACATGCACTTTTTTCATAAATAAAATACTTATTCAAACAAATCAAATACCCCACAAACATCATATATATACATATACCGATGCTCAGGCAGCTCAGCCCTACTAATTGGGTAAGCCTAAATTACTAGCAAGTGCTGGACCTGCTGGCCGCCATGGAATGCGAGTTGGATCATACTACAAAGGAAAGAAAATTTTAAAGCCCATAATGATTGGATCTGGGCCAGGTCATAATTCAAAGTATAACTGAGAAATGAGAAAGGCCTGATGAATAGAATGTGGGCCTGA